TAAAAAATGCGACGAAAATCTACGAAAATACGAAGAATTATTCACTAAATATATCAAGTGACGCAAAGGACACTAAGAATTATGAACGAAAATAAACGGTGAATTAAAACGAACGCTAGAATTAAAAACACAATTAAGAAAATACACCAAATGAACGCTAGAATTAAAAAAAGTAATTATATAAACAAAAAAGTATATCTACGCTGACAGAACGGAAAGAAATGAAACAATATACAACCCTCTCCTTCAAAATAAAAATAACCGCTATTATTAAAAAAACAAACATTAATAAGAAAACTATAAAAGAACGTAGTAAATAATAAAGAAAAACATAAACACGGCGTGAGCTCCTTGATGAACCACCTCCCGCCACGTCTCTGTACCGACTACTTAATGTCTTAGGGCACGAACCTATAATGTTTACTGATGGGGCTACGAGGATAAATTATTCTAGGGTTTAGTAGTTAAAATATTATCTGGGTTGATTAAATTGTGAGTATTATTAAGCGTCTTATTCCCAGAAAGTATTAATTTGGGGTCTTATTCCCAGAAAGTATTAATTTGGCGTCTTATTCCAGAAAGTATAATTTGGGCGTCTTATTCCCAGAAAGTATTAATTTGTGCTTATTCCTGAAAGTATTAATTTGGGCGTCTTATTCCCTAGAAAGTATTAATTTGGCGTCTTATTCCCTAGAAAGTATTATTTGGGCGTCTTATGTCCTAGAACGTATTAATTTAGGCCCACAAAGTATCATTTTACCGTCCACTTCCCTAGAAAGTATTATTTCTGTCTCATTCCGTAGTAATAATTTTAGCGTAATATCCTCCTTAGTGTTTTTTGGGTGTCCTATTCCGTAGAAAGTATTAATTTAGCGTCTTATTCCCGAGAAAGTATTATTTTCGGCGCCACTTCCTCTGTAATGTATAAATTTCCGCGTTTTATCTTGATAATTTCAACTAAAATATTTAACTTCACCTTTGCTAATTAACTTCACCTGGAACAACTTACTTACCCGAGAATAACTACAGCTATGTTAATTATCACCTAAAATAAATAGCTTCACTTAATTTAACGTCACCTATTTTAACTAACTTCACCTAATTGTTAATAAATATATTTCGCGGAATAATAATAATAATAATAATAATAATAATAATAATATCAATACAGCCATACCTCAAAAACCTAAAAAATAAAAATAAAAATTAAAAACAACCCGTCATAGTACCCTCGCCTCGTTACGCCCCACGGCAGCGATTAATTCATTTTGGCGGCAACTTAAGACGCCACTATTTATTTACTTCAGACACTACGACGCTAAACTATTCTCCCGATCAACTCAAATGCTGTTATATCACGGTGGTCGTTATAACAGATGCCTTTATACTGTTATATCGCGGTGGTCGTTATAACAAATGCCTTTATACTGTTATATCGCGGTGGTCGTTATAACAAATGCCTTTATACTGTTATATCGCGATGGTCGTTATAACAGATGCCTTATACTGTTATAGCGTGGTGGTCGTTATAACAGATGCCTTTATACTGTTATATCGCGATGGTCGTTATAACAGATGCCTTTATACTGTTATATCGCGATGGTCGTTATAACAGATGTCTTTATACTGTTATAGCGTGGTGGTCGTTATAACAAATGCCTTTATACTGTTATATCGCGGTGGTCGTTATAACAGATGCCTTTATACTGTTATATCGCGGTGTCGTTATAACAGATGTCTTTATACTCTGTTATATCGCGATGGTCGTTATAACAAATGCCTTTATACTGTTATATCGCGGTGGTCGTTATAACAGATGCCTTATACTGTTATATCGCGGTGGTCGTTATAACAAATGCCTTTATACTGTTATATCGCGATGGTCGTTATAACAGATGTCTTTATACTGTTATATCGTGTGGTCGTTATAACAGATGCCTTTATACTGTTATATCGCGGTGGTCGTTATAACAGATGTCTTTATACTGTTATATCGCGGTGGTCGTTATAACAGATGTCTTTATACTGTTATATCGTGGTGATCGTTATAACAATGCTTTTATACTGTTATATCGCAGTGGTCGTTATAACAGATGTCTTATACTGTTATATCGCGGTGGTCGTTATAACAAATGCCTTTATACTGTTATATCGCAGTGGTCGTTATAACAGATGTCTTTATACTGTTATATCGCTATAACAGATGTCTTTTATACTCTGTTATATCGCGGTGGTCGTTATAACAGATGCATTTATTCTCTTATATCGCGGTGGTCGTTATAACAGATGCCTTTATACTGTATATCGCGGTGGCGTTATAACAAAGCCTTTATACTGTTATATCGTGGTGATCGTTATAACAAATGCCTTTATACTGTTATATCGCGGTGGTCGTTATAACAGATGCCTTTATACTGTTATATCGCGGTGGTCGTTATAACAAATGCCTTTATACTGTTATATCACGGTGGTCGTTATAACAGATGCCTTTATACTCGGTTATATCGCGGTGGTCGTTATAACAAATGCCTTTATACTGTTATATCGCGGTGGTCGTTATAACAAATGCCTTTATACTGTTATATCGCGATGGTCGTTATAACAAATGCCTTTATACTGTTATATCGCGATGGCCGTTATAACAGATGTCTTTATACTGTTATATCGTGGTGGTCGTTATAACAAATGCCTTTATACTGTTATATCGCGGTGGTCGTTATAACAGATGCCTTTATACTGTTATATCGCGGTGGTCGTTATAACAGATGCCTTTATACTGTTATATCGTGGTGGTCGTTATAACAAATGCCTTTATACTGTTATATCGCGGTGGTCGTTATAACAAATGCCTTTATACTGTTATATCGCGGTGGTCGTTATAACAAATGCCTTTATACTGTTATATCGCGGTGGTCGTTATAACAAATGCCTTTATACTGTTATATCGCGGTGGTCGTTATAACAAATGCCTTTATACTCGTTATATCGCGGTGGTCGCCGGTAAACAAATGCCTTTATACCAAGAGATTGCGGTGGTCGTTATAACAAATGCCTTTTATACTGTTATATCGGGCGGTATCGTTATAACAGATGTCTTGAGTACTGTTATATCGCGGTGGTCGTTATAACAAATGCCTTTTATACTGTTATATCGCGGTGGTCGTTGTAACAAATGCCTTTATATCGTTATTATATCGCGGTGGTCGTTATAACAGATGTCTTTATACTGTTATATCGCGGTGGTCGTTATAACAAATGCCTTTATACTGTTATATCGCGGTGGTCGTTATAACAGATGCCTTTATACTGTTATATCGCGGTGGTCGTTATAACAGATGCCTTTATACTGTTATATCGCGGTGGTCGTTATAACAAATGCCTTTATACTGTTATATCGCGGTGGTCGTTATAACAGATGTCTTTATACTCTGTTATATCGAGGTGGTCGTTATAACAGATACCTTTATACTGTTATATCGCGGTGGTCGTTATAACAGATGTCTTTATACTGTTATATCGTGGTGGCCGTTATAACAGATGCCTTTATTCTCTTATATCGTGGTGGCCGTTATAACAGATGCCTTTATTCTCTTATATCGCGGTGGCCGTTATAACAGACGCCGTTGGACACTACCACTGTTGACGGTGGCGGGTAAGGAACCACACATCTGTTCCTGCGTGTCACTCGTGTTTGCATATCTTGTGATAATCTCTGTGACCACCTCATAGACGCCTCGTAAATATATCACGTATTTTAGACTTTGTTTATTTATGTTGGATACCATACCGAGTTTAGCTTCACACAGGGACGTACAATGGGTTTTTCTTGAAGATGATGATAATGTAAGTTTAAAGGGGGTAATTTATGCAAACACACGTACACAAACATACAGAAATAATAATAGAAAAAATACTCGCAGAATATTTTTAAAAACTAACCTTCGCTTTTATACAAGATACAGAATCATACAAAAATAATTCGACCTGACTGGTGTTTAAGTGAACGTATCTAGTTAAGGTTGAACAAGTTACCGTCATTAATTCCGTATTATTGTGCATAGCGTTAAATATATTAACATTGGTAAATTAACATATCACATCGGTATCTTAGTGAACTTGGCTATAATTTTGACTAAACAAAATTAACACAGCTTTTCGACGACTTAAATTTTAATTAGAAACTACGTCTAGTCTTGTCGAAGTTGAGGTATTTGAAATAAGTAATAAACGTTACTGATTTAGGTATTTTCTTTAAATATGAAAATTTACAAGACATTTTTATCATTATTTCACACTTGATGCTTAGAGCTTTACTGAACTATATACTCATTTAAAATAGTGTATTGTGTGTGTGTGTGTGTGTGTGTGTGTGTGTCTCCTTATACAGTATATGTATTTACCTATATGCCTATTTAAATATACTTATACATATATCAACCTACACAACTATACATTCTAGTAAGTATATATGTATAGTTTTAGTTACCTATGTATTTACTCACAGATGTATTCATTTATACATACAGGGGTATAAAGTGTATTCCCGTATATACCTACTGATAAATGTATCCATACACACTTATATCCATACACTTATATTCATACACACTTATATCCATACACACTTATATCCATACACACTTATCACACTTGAGGTTCATACACACTTTAAACCTTCGTGTATGAAATATTTCCACCTACCTCTCCTTCATCATCTACCTCTACCTCTACCTGAGATAAACAAACATTTATAATCTCAACAGAATAAAAAGCAACTTCACTATCACCACCACCACCATCACTACCACCATCACCATCACTACCACCATCACCAACCACCACCACCACCACCACCATCACCAACCACTACCACCATCACCAACCACTACCACCACCACCATCACTACCACCATCACTACCACCACCACAACCACCTTCACTACCACCATCACCATCACCAACCACTACCACCACCACCATCACTACCACCACCACCTCACCTCGACTCTTTCCTCCTTCAGGTCGACCTTGAGGGCGAGCTGTTCCCGAAGCAGGACATCAGGGTAGTGGGTCTTGGCGAAGGTTCTCTCTAGCTCCTCCAGTTGTTCCTCAGTGAAGATAGTTCGGTGCCTTCGTTTCCTCTTGCCCCCAGCGCCCGACCCGCCGAAGAGAGAGGCTGAGTAGAGACCTGGGTACTGAGACGGTCCTGGTGAAGGGAGAGAGAGAGAGGGGTGTTAGTTACGACTTTTTGGGGGTTAGTACGACTTTCTGGGGTTAATACGACTTTTGGGGGTTAGTACGACTTTTGGGGGTTAGTACGACTTTCTGGGGGTTAGTACGACTTTCTGGGGTTAATACGACTTTTGGGGATTAGTACGACTACCCAGTATTATCACATGAACAAATTTCATCCTACACACACACACACACACACACACACACACACACACATCCATACAGACATGTCTTACTCAAACGCTGACGTAACCTAACTTAACCTAACCAAAATCCAACCTAACCTAACCAAACACTAACCTGACCTAACTATAACCCTCTTGTAATCACCACTTAGGCATATTTACCTTAATTAAGTGGCACAGGTAGATATTCACTTGTAATTACAGGAACAAGCTACATGAATACAGTCATACAGTCATACATACACAATACAGGTACGGATACAGTCATACATACACAATACAGAAACAACTACTGACTAAATGTATAATTATAGATACAAATTATACAGCTACAGAATGCATAGATTTAACTATAGTCAAACTCCTCCGCCGTCGTTCAGTCAGACAGTCAGTCAGTACGGACAAGGTGGAGTTACGCGCGTTAAAATCTCTCGCCGGGTCTCTCTCTCTCTCTCTCTCTCTCTCTCTCTCTCTCTCTCTCTCTCTCTCTTTGCCTGTCTCTCTCTCTCTTTGTCTCTCTCTCTCTCTCTTTGTCCCTCTCTCTCTCTCTCTCTCTCTCCTCAACTAAAGGCTCGTGTAACTTTCATCTTAGCCGCTAGAGGGAGCCCGTGTTGATAGATGACGTCACAAAGGCGTTAAAAAGACCCCGTGTTGATAGATGACGTCACAAAGGCGTTAAAAAGACCCCGTGTTGATAGATGACGTCACTCTACACCTGGTTCTTCACTGTAACTATTCAGATAGGCAAAAATCGGGTATAAATCTACATCGGAAACGAAATCGGGGTTTTGACAGATTCACGGCACAAATTTCGGATATGTATCACGTTAAGAATTCTAAAAATCGTATACATACCGGATATTTACCGATATAAGAGACAGAAATCACATATTTACCGATCTGACGGACATTTATCGGATTTTTACCGATCAACACACATAAATCGGCTATGGTGATGATATAGAACACGATAACCCGATTGTTAACCAATTTAATACATATAGATCAAACACATGTCGATTTAGAACAAGAAAATCCGATATTAACCGATTCGGAAACGCCACAACCGGATACTTAAATTTTCTGTGCTGGGAAATCCGATACAACAATATACAAATATATATATAATAATAATCTTCTTAACCTTCAGAAGATTATCCGAACACGGTAAACGGAACACGGTAAACGGAACACGGAAAGAATACGGTTTTTACCCACGGAAACCGGACAGAATTATTTGTATCTGATTTTAAACCCCGAATTCTCAAAAAAAAAAAAACCTAAGTTCAATTTCCCTCCCAACTGGTGATGTGAGAACGTATCTAACTGACTCACTTAAGCTACCACACAAAGACGTCAATCAAATATGTCTTCCAAAATACACTAAGACTCTACCGTGACTTAGTACAATTATGGACAAAATAATAATAATAATAATAATAATAATAATAATAATAATAACAATAATAAAACCAGGGGTGTGTGTGTGTGTGTGTGTGTGTGTGTGTGTGTGTGTGTGTGTGTGTGTGTGTGTGTGTGTGTGTGTGTGTGTGTGTGTGTGTTGTAAGTGGACAGATAGACAGAAAGATATACAAATAGACATATAGACAGAAGGAAGTTAAAGAGACAGACAGACAGACAGACAGACAGCAAACTCTTAAAATATCGAGATAAACGGAAAAACAAAAGAAAACCTGATAATTATTAAGATGGAGAAATAATGAAGAAAACTTTAACCATTAATATATACTAAATGGTTAATGTTGTGTTATGGTGATGTTATCTGTCATAAGATGGTTAATGCCGTGTTACGGTGATGTTATCTGTCATAAGATGGTTAATGTTGTGTTATCGTGATGTTATCTCTGTCATAAGATGGTTAATGTTGTGTTATCGTGATGTTATCTGTCATAAGATGGTTAATGTTGTGTTATCGTGATGTTACTTTTTGTCATGCGAAGTGGCTTTGCTATCGTGGCGTTATCCTCTCCCATACTAACTGGTTAAACACATGATATCCAACCGTTATCCTGCCAATCCTAACTGGCTACAAAACATGATACCTAGGCGTTATCCTGTCAATCCTAACCGGCTACAAAACATGATACCTAGGCGTTATCCTGTCAATCCTAACCGGCTACAAAACATGATATCTAGGCGTTATCCTGTCAATCCTAACCGGCTACAAAACATGATATCTAGGCGTTATCCTGCCAATCCTAACTGGCTACAAAACATGATATCTTGGCGTTATCCTGCCAATCCTAACTGGCTACAAAACATGATATCTAGGTGTTATCCTGTAATTCCTAACTGGCTACAAAACATGATACCTAGGCGTTATCCTGTCAATCCTAACCGGCTACAAAACATGATATCTAGGCGTTATCCTGTCAATCCTAACTGGCTACAAAACATGATATCTAGGTGTTATCCTGTCATTCTAACCGGCTACAAAAACATACCTAGGCGTTATCCTGTCAATCTAACTGGCTACAAAACATGATATCTTGGCGTTGTATCCTGTCAATCCTAACCGGCACAAAACATGATACCTAGGCGTTATCCTGTCAATCCTAACCGGCTACAAAACATGATACCTAGGCGTTATCCTGTCATTCCTAACCGGCTACAAAACATGATACCTAGGTGTTATCCTGTAATTCCTAACTGGCTACAAAACATGATACCTAGGCGTTATCCTGTCAATCCTAACCGGCTACAAAACATGATACCTAGGTGTTATCCTGTCATTCCTAACCGGCTACAAAACATGATATCTTGGCGTTATCCTGCTAGTCCTAACTGGCTACAAAACATGATATCTAGGTGTTATCCTGTCAATCCTAACCGGCTACAAAACATGATACCTAGGTGTTATCCTGTCATTCCTAACCGGCTACAAAACATGATACCTAGGCGTTATCCTGTCAATCCTAACTGGCTACAAAACATGATATCTAGGCGTTATCCTGTCAATCCTAACTGGCTACAAACATGATACCTAGCGTTATCCTGCCAACTTAACTGACTACAAAACATGATACCTAGGCGTTATCCTGTCAATCCTAACTGGCTACAAAACATGATACCTAGGCGTTATCCCGTCATTCCTAATCATACAAAACATGATACCTAGGCGTTATCCTGTCAACCTAACTGGCTACAAACATACCTAGGCGTTATCCTGTCAATCCTAACTGCCAAAACATACCTAGGCGTTATCCTGTCATTCCTAACCGGCTACAAAACATGATACCTAGGCGTTATCCTGTCAATCCTAACTGGCTACAAAACATGATATCTAGGCGTTATCCTGTCAATCCTAACCGGCTACAAAACATGATACCTAGGCGTTATCCTGTCAATCCTAACCGGCTACAAAACATGATACCTAGGCGTTATCCTGTCAATCCTAAAATATAACGGGCCAATATATCCAATAAGACTATAAGCTTAAAACAAGTTATGTATCACAATACAAAACAAAACGAAAAAAAAACACGAAAATAAAACACCAGGTAAATAAACATAAAACACAACGGGATATAAAACACACACACAGACTGAACACGAAAACCAACAAATGAAATAATCTAATTAATTAGTTAAGTTAAAATGAGTTAAAAAAAAAAAGTTGAAATACAATAAAATAAAACTAAATATATTAATACATCTATTTACAACTGAAGACGTGTCGGGTTGGGAGTTGTTTTTGTTGTAGTTGTGGTAGTTGTTGTTGTTGTTGTGGTAGTTGTTCTTGTTGTAAATGTAGTTGTTGTTGTTGTAGTTGTGGTAGTTGTTGTTGTTGTTGCTGTGGTAGTTGTTGTTGTTGTGGTAGTTGTTCTTGTTGTAAATGTAGTTGTTGTTGTTGTAGTTGTGGTAGTTGTTCTTGTTGTAAATGTTGTTGTTGTTGTTGTTGTGGTATTTGTTGTTGTTGTTGTTGATGTTGTTTTTGTCTTGTAGTTGTTGTTCACATATAAGCCTCAACAGGGTTATTAAGTACCGTTCATTAGGTCTTAGTTTTAGGTGCTTCAACTACCACCAGGGTTATTAATCACCGTTCATTAGGTCTTAGTTTTAGGTGCTTCAACTACCACCAGGGTTATTAAGTACCGTTCATTAGGTCTTAGTTTTAGGTGCTTCAACTACCACCAGGGTTATTAATCACCGTTCATTAGGTCTTAGTTTTAGGTGCTTCAACTACCACCAGGGTTATTAAGCACCGTTCATTAGGTCTTAGTTTTAGGTGCTTCAACTACCACCAGGGTTATTAAGCACACCGTTCACTAGGTCTTAGTTTTAGGTGCTTCAACTACCACCAGGGTTATTAATCACCGTTCATTAGGTCTTAGTTTTAGGTGCTTCAACTACCACCAGGGTTATTAGTCACCGTTCATTAGGTCTTAGTTTTAGGTGCTTCAACTACCACCAGGGTTATTAAGCACCGTTCACTAGGTCTTAGTTTAGGTGCTTCAACTAACCCCAGTTATTGAGTACGTCATAGGTGTTGGTTTAGTGCTTCAACTACCACCAGGGTTATTAAGTACCGTTCATTAGGTCTTAGTTTTAGGTGCTTCAACTACCACCAGGGTTATTAATCACCGTTCATTAGGTCTTAGTTTTAGGTGCTTCAACTACCACCAGGGTTATTGAGTACCGTTCATTAGGTGTTAGTTTTAGGTGCTTCAACTACCACCAGGGTTATTAAGTACCGTTCACTAGGTCTTAGTTTTAGGTGCTTCAACTACCACCAGGGTCATTAAGCACCGCCCATTAGGTCTTAGTTTTAGGTGCTTCAACTACCATGATTTATTCAATACCTTTCAAATCAAATCTTCTAAAACAAATAACTTATACAAAAATTAAACCGCATCTCCCTTAAACCTAAACCAGGCTTAGTTTAACATTACCCCCGTCACTCTGTTATTGCCAACATTACATTGCAACATTCGGTACAACACAACACTAATATTAATGAATGTAAAAAGCAAAATGTTATTGAATGTGACGCCATTGGGCAAATTATTCCGTATTATACTAAATGGAGGAAAATACTGATTAGCGCATATTTGAACGCATATGAACCTCCCAAAAATAACAATGATAATTTCAAAATGCACGAAAAGTATGATTCGAACCCCATTGATGAAATACTCTTTAAGGTTCGTTCCAAGGGTTCATAATGGTTCAAATCCTCACTGATGAACAACTCTTTAAGGTTCGTTCCAAGGGTTCATAATGGTTCAAATCCTCACTGATGAATTCTGGGAGAGGATTGTGAATATTGATTAATTACCAAGAGGTGTTGGATCATGACTCAGTAGGTGGCGGTGTTGGGGATCATTCTAGTGGTCGAAGAGACTGATGTTTGGGTCATGAGCCGAGGTGTTGGTACAGGTCACTTACCTAAGAGGTCGTAGTGTGAGCGTGGCAGCGTGGGGAAGGGCGAGGGTGGCAGGCGCGGCGCCCCAGCCACGGAGGTCCTGGGGGCCAGGAGACTCTCGATGGTGAAGACGGAGGACGGGGCGCGGGAGGCCGGCGGCAGCACCCCGGCCTCTGTGGCCTCTCCAGACGCCAGACATCTCAGCTGCTCGGAGGCGGAGGCGTAGCTCTTGAGGGGGTCGACCATCTGTAGCGGCATCTTGAGGTGGTCGTTGGAGTAGCCCTTGAGGGGGTCATGGCCCAGGTAGAGCCTCATGTGCTCCGGCAGCAGGTACTTGAGGTGCTCCGAGGTGAGGTAATGCTTGAGGGGGTCGCTGGAGGTGAGGTACTGCTTGAGGGGGTCGCTGGAGGTGAGGTACTGCTTGAGGGGGTCGGTGGCCCCCATGTACTGTGTCAGGTGGTGGAGGTAAGCCGGGTAGGGGTAGTGGGGCAGCGGGGCGAGGCAGGGCAGGCTGGACGGCCCCAGGGGGTCGCCCACAGATACCGCCGTCCCTGCCAGCGGCAGCCCCGGCGGCGGTAGCGGCGGCAGCGCCGACGACACGGGCGAAGAACCAGAGGAGCGAACGCCGCCCGTCTCCACCATTTTCCCGCCTCCTGACGCCACTTTGTAACAGCAACACAACAACAACACAAGTCCTAGTAGTAACGGTGCAGGTAACGCTGTAGTCCTCTGAGTAACACAAACAAGCTACACCACCACACCACGTGGGTCACACACCGTGCGTCACTCCCAAGTGAACATCCTCACCTCATCACTCACCATAAATCACTTTTGACTCGCCAGGCTCCGCCCACTCCCCACCAGCGACGTCTGAGGCGCTCGAGAGCCTCACAATCCCCGCCCACCAGCCAATCACCGCCCGGCATTCGTTCACCGCTCCCACATCAACCTATCACCATGCACAAAAATAACGATGGGCGGGGCTTAGGACAGAGGGGAGGGGTAGAAAGGTATCACGCGGGCGATTTTGGCGCGAGTTATCAAGTCCTCATATCAATCCAATTGACCAAGAGTCAAATATTAAGAAACTTTACGACGTCAAACTCGATTGGAATCTTGTTTTACCTCCGCGGTCTTTGTTACGTCACAGGCAACACCCTCACCGAACTATGGAAGTCCAGGACGTGTATGAAACAAGTCTTGGACGAGTTAAACCCAAGCCGGCTAGGACAAGGAGAGATAATCTATGACAATATGTTGGGAGTTATAGGATAGGGACCTCCGGCCTCTAATGGACCAGGTGGGAGGTGGACCGGCCTCTCTAATGGACCGAGAGTGGACCGGCCTCTAATGGACCGGGAGGGGTGGACCGCCTCTAATGGACCGGTGGACCGGTGGACCGCCTCTAATGGACCGAGAGGGAGGTGGACCAGCTCCAATGGACCGGGAAGGAGGTGGACCAGCCTCTAATGGACCGGAAGAGGTGGACCAGCTCTAATGGACCGAAGGAGGTGGACCAGCCTCTAATGGACCGGGAAGGAGGTGGACCGGCCTCTCTCAATGGACCGGGAGGGAGGTGAACCGGCCTCTAATGGACCGGGAAGGAGGTGGACCAGCCTCTAATGGACTGGAAGGAGGTGGACAGCCTAATGGACAGGAAGGAGGTGGACCAGCCTCTAATGGACGGGAAGGAGGTGGACCAGCCTCTAATGGACCAGGTGGAGGTGGACCAGCCTCTAATGGACCGGGAAGGAGGTGGACCAGCCTCTAATGGATCGTGAGAGGGAGGTGGACCAGCCTCAATGGACCGGGAAGGAGGTGGACCAGCCTCTAATGGACCGGGAAGGTGGACCAGCCTCTAATGGACCGGGAAGGAGGTGGACCAGCCTCTAATGGACCGGGAAGGAGGTGGACCGGCCTCTAATGGACCGGGAAGGAGGTGGACCAGCCTCTAATGGACCGGGAAGGAGGTGGACCAGCCTCTAATGAACCGCTGATTGGATGGTCCTCCAGCCGACGCCTCTCGTTGTTCTATTATTGAGTGAGTTTCTTTCACATAATGACTTAGGACTTTACTACACCACTAACATTCATACACCACAAGTTTGTAATGACTGATCACTTTACTATACTGTAGCCTGTAGCCTAATCTAACTTAACCTAATCTAACATGACCTTACACGACCTCACATGGCCTCACACGACCTCACATGACCTCACACGACCTCACATGGCCTCACACGACCTCACATGGCCTCACACGACACCATTATCTCTTCCAGCTTATTTTACCTTAGGATTAACCACCCCAGCTCTCTCTCTCTCTCTCTCTCTCTCTCTCTAACAGTTGGTCAATAATTATAACAATAAATTAGTATAAATTATAGGATTAATTAGCAATAAATAACAATAATAACATCACCCGTAAATATCATGGTCACTTAACCTTAAATTAACCCATATAATTATACAGTGTGACTGTGTGTGTGTGTGTGTGTGTGTGTGTGTGTGTGTGTGTGTGTGTGTGTGTGTGTGGTGCAAATATACGGTACACATACATACAGGTATACACACATGTACGCCTACTCATAAACATAAAACCGCACATACACACATGCCTACACACACACACACAGTGACACACGTACACTTACACACAGTACAAGTAGTACTAGTAGTAGAAGTAGCAGTATAAGAAGAAGCAGTCGTAGAAGTCGTAGCAATCGTATTAGTAGTAGAAGTAGTAAAAGTAGCAGAAGTTGAAGTAGCAGTAAAACTCGAAGCAAAAGTATTAGTAGCTGTAGTAGTGATAGTAGTACAAGTAGCACAGTGGTAGTAGAAGTAGCAACACCTGTTCATCAATTGGTGTTAATAATCCACTACCTCACCTGGGATCACCTCCGTCCATTTAACTAACAGGTGTGTGTGTGTGTGTGTGTGTGTGTGTGTGTGTGTGTGTGTGTGTGTGTGTGTGTATGTGTGTACTAATATCCTACTCTTTATTTTGTCAGGTGTAATATTTGTAATAGAGTTTGCACAGGTAATACTCTGATTGGTGTGTGTGTGTGTGTGTGTGTGTGTGTGGTGTATGTGTATGTGTGTGTGTGTGTGTGTGTGTGTGTGTGTGGTGTGTGTGTGTGTGTGTGTGGTGTATGTGTGTGTGTGGTGTGTGTGTGTGTGTGTGTGTGAGGACTGAACGCTGGTTAACTAATTCACGTGTTTGATGTCTCTCTCTCTCTCTCTCTCTCTCTCTCTCTCTCTCTCTCTCTCTCTCTCTCTCTTCTAACTCTCATTCAAACGATTCCTTCTCCTCTTCAAAGGTCCATAAGGTAGATTTTCTCATAATAAAAAACGATATTATCGCCTCTACCTGATTCACTTAAACTATCACCACACTCCAGTAAAGTGCAGTAATCAGTTAATACATAAATCACACTCGTAGGGTTACATACTACAGTCAGACACAACAGTAAACAGTACATAGAGTAACATAAGTACATCTGACATGTTACAAAATACAGTAACAGTACAGCAATAAACACTAACACCACATAACATTACAATACCCACTGTAATTATAACACGATTAATACACATAAACATTAAATATATATATAAAAATAAATAAACAATGTGAGCAACAGTGAAACATTGCAATAGGTTCAATTCACTTGCAATGGTCACAGACAGACATATTGGCTATACACAGGACAAATGGATACCCAAAATTGACACCATTCACCTATGTTATTCTATCTAACTTCTCACCGCAAGCTATAAAAGGTGTATGCATGTATGTATGTATGTATGTATGTATGTATGTATGTATGTATGTGCTAAAAATGACAGTCACCAAAGTATATAATTAATTACCATAATATACCATCAGTACACCTACAGTATACCAAATATTACACCTGTACATATAATTATCAACACCTGCTATACACCTCAAGACAACACCTGCTATACACCTCAAGACTTCAGTTGTGGTCAATATTCCCGGAACACTTACTAACACCTGACAACTAATTCCTGATCATATACACGATTGGTTTAAACTAATTCCGGGTCATATACACGATTGGTTTAAACTAATTCCTGGGTTTTTGGATCAACTATTACATCGGGATTACAAGACGGAATTAAAACACGCCTTAATACATAGAAAAACGTGAGGAAATGTGTTAAAAATTGCTATAATTTTCACTTACTGATTCTCAAGCATTGCCGAGTGTCCAGGGAATATTGACCGCAGCTGGACATATGAAGTATTTAATTTATAAAGCCTTATTTCTTTGTCAATTTCCCCACAACAACAATAATAACAGCAACAATAACGATAATAACAACAACAATAACAACAGCAATGACAACAATAATAACAACAACAATAATAGCAATAACAACAGCAATAACAACAACAATAACAACAATAATAACAATAACAACAATAACAATAACAACAGCAATAACAACAATAACTAATAACAATAACAACAATAAGAACAGCAATAACAACAATAACTAATAACAATAACAACAATAAGAACAGCAATAACAACAACACCAACAACACCAACAACAATATATGGATGAATGATAACATTAAATAACAAGAACAGATTTCATGGTAATTTATAAAGTTATTTTTTATTGGACGTCTTAGTAATTAATGTAAACAATGATATTATTTGTTATATAAGTTTCAGACCTTATATGACCTGACCTGACGCGTCCTATAACGGGCCCCAATGCTATATGATTAGGTTAGGTTAGGTTAGGTTGGAGGCCTGTTATGATTACACCAATTTGACCTTTCACATAAAAACGAATCAGCAACTTGGTATGAATTTTATGTGGTTGTGCTTTTATTAAACCATCAAAACCATTTTATCGGAAATTATCATGTAAATAGATAAGTAATTACCATTGCAATAAACATAAATGCCAACTAGACATAATCCTGACAGCTCTGTCCTCTTGTTCAACCTTATTACTCCACAACCCAGGTTGTACTGCTCCCCCATTATACTTAGGTTTTAAATTCCACTGTAATTTATATATATATATATATATATATATATATATATATATATATATATATATATATATATATATATATATATATATATATATATATATATATATATATATATATATATAAATAAAAAATTAATAAATATTTAAGTGATAACCGTGGTAACATGTTGTTATTACCACCATGCTATTGTACTATTCCAGATGATACTAAATGTTACATAATACTTCCTTGAGATAAATGTATAATATATATCAGGTGCAGCTCAGGTGCTCAACTGGCTCAGCCATGTTATTATTATCCACTCTGTATCTGTGTTTTTAACGCTAAATAAACTGTTTCAATTCAATTCAATGAATGATTGTGAAACGATTGTGAAAATGGACATGATTGTGAAAATAATTAATTGTGAAAATATGGAAATGAGGAATTGTAAAACGTCTGATAGTGAAAGATAATTGACGGAGAAATACACTATGAGTCAACATACCTGAAGTGTGGTGGTGGTGGAGGCCGGGAGGTGTGGTGGTGGAGGCCGGGAGATGTGGTGGTGGAGGCCGGGACGTGTGGTGGTGGAGGCCGGGACGTTGTCTTGAACCTA